ATTGTAGTGAACTAAACTATATACGACCACAGGATGTGAACTGGCTTTGGTATGTATCTTGGATATTCAAGATCTAAGAAAGCTCAGCTAGATCGCATTTTTATCAGCGATTTTGTGCCCAAACTGGTGAAACGGTAGAATGTGTATCAATGAGGAATGATAAGAGCCACAAGCAGACGGGCACGTGAAAGCTAGGACGCTAGGATAAAGGAGCTTTTACTAAGATTTCGATATTGTTACCACCGAAATCTTTCAACCGCTAATCCGTCCTACTTCCAGCGAATGGTGGTGTTTTTATAAATGTGATAAGCACCAGACATTGGCAAACGTTCATTAAAAGGAGAAATATGATGAAATGGGCCGTATTCCAAGACGTGGGAATTAGGCCAAGTGTTAGTGGTCAGCACAGAAATCCTGTCAGTGGTCAGTACCATAGGTTTGACCATGCGCGCAGTAGTGCGCGTCAGCCAAAATGGTTCTTCAGTAAACAATATGATTCATGAGAGTTTTGAGAATCTACCTCGATAAAATCTAGATCTACCCGAAAGCTCAATATATGCGTCAGCAACGAGAAAAGAATGTTGAGTAATTCAGCTGCTCCACATTAGACTGCTACACTACTCCGTCATCTACATTATAAGACAGTTCGACCACCATATGGGACGGCTTCTGTGGGCCTTTTGGCCTGTAGTCGTGTTCATATGTTTCGAGGTGACAACGCTTTTCGTCGTGCAGCTTTTTCTCTGTCTCGATTGATTCATTGACCTGCGGCGCTCCTTGTTTTCGTCTTGTTTCTTCTTCCTTTCGCTTCATTCGAGTAACAATGGCGGCTATGAGTGCGGCACCTTTACCACTTCCATCACTGGTCTGCACGACTTTGAACTGTAAACATATATTGAAAACAAAAAAATGCTCAGCAAAGGCTATAAGACCCTCCCTCCCTGAATTCCTCATGGCAAACTGCTTTGAAAACCATACACGGATTTCGCGATCATGCAGTTGTACTCTACGAGATTAATCCATTCTTTAACATAAATGTCGAGGCCTTCATATAATGGACGTTTATGTAAGTATAGCAGTAGCAGCAAAGTTAGCGAAAAGCAGGCCAAAACGACAACTTGTTCCCTGCACAAAGCGAGGTGTTGCAATTTAAAAAGAAACAACTTCGCTTTTCCAGGCTCATTTTGTAGCATAACGCATGGGTTATCACGGAGTGCCCATGGATTTGTGTTATTTGGCTTTAGTGTAGCGTGAGTAGTAAAAGACACTTCTTAAACTTAGCTTCGAAACTAAATGGAATGATACCTTCAATCCAGGGTCGAGCAGCTCTTTCACTTTTTCGACGACCCAGTGCTCAAAAAACGGGTGATATTTGTAAGTGCTGCCATCGATTGCAACGGTCATTTTTGGTCGACGTATACGGTTGAGCACACAAGCAATCGCTGAAGAATGCAGAACATAAAATTGTTACACGACTCCCACGCTACTTTGCCGGCCACTTCGATGCGAGTATTCCATTTTGAGTTCCCCAGAAAGGTTGCCATTTCGCTATACATGGCCGTGTATAAGATAGATACGCAGAAAAAAATGACACTGTCCGCGCAAAGGATAAGTCAAACAGGTTGACGAGGAATAAGATGAAAGAATGGAAGAGTTGGTACAGGACGTTTATGAGATATCTGCTGACAGATGAAAGCAAGCCTTCCTTCCCACCTTACTCAGGAGGCTGAGGCCATCTCACCGTTACTGGTGAGATAGAGAAGGCACGCAACACCATGTTCAGCCTACAACTGTGTAATTCCTGCGATTCAGTCACACATGAAACACACACACATTGTTCCTAAAAATCGTTGTCGTGGCAGTAGA